ACGCCCGCCGCAATGGAGTGGACGTTTGATCAATTTTCTCTTCATCTACACTTACCGACCTGCTCGGCAATCAGGTCTTCCTTTCCTCCTCTTCCATTATATCTTCTATGATCACCACCCTGTTCCTGAAGGGAGTGCTTGTCGATGGCTGCGTTCTATGGTTACTAACCCTTCCCTTGGTCCCCTTAAACTCTGCTTTCCCATATGGCCTTGGGATGTTCGGAGCTATTTCGTAGCGCCCTTTTGTGCGCTGACTTACAAGGGATGCTTTTGCCAAGAGCATGTCCCTTTGCCCCGTCTCTCCGTACTCCACTAATATGGGTCGGGCCGCGGACCCTACGTTCGGGTTTGGTTGCGTCCAAACCCCTACTCTATGTATCTTTTTGTGACATTTAGGGTCTAAGCCCGCCAGTCTAAGGATATCGGTTGCTCGGCAGCGGTCCAGTTCGCGGCGAGTTTTAGATTCACTGATTATTGGTCATATCACTTAGCACAGGACTAAACATAGCCACAGCAAACCAAAGGTATGGAATTCATTCGATAGTATGCGCACTGTGTGGGCACCCAGCACTGCTGAAATAAGAATGAGAAATAGAATCTCGGCGGTACCTAGCAGAAGGAGAGTCCCTCATCGAAGTGAACCAAAATGCAAAGCTCTCCAAACAAAATACGGTCTAGTAAAGTCAAGTCAGGTCACAGGACTTTAGGCTTCGGTCAATGGATGTCCAGGTTCTTACACTTGTGGGCTGGTGATTCCCACTGTGCTGCGACTGCCAGGTAGATCCACAGTTGTAATGGGTGTTGTACCTACAAGAAAGAGATGAAGAGCAGGATCGCCCTCGGGGTAACAGCAGTCTCAATCATTTAACAGGCGCCGCACCTCGGCGGGCTGCTACTCCTGCCATGAGAGCTTCCCGGGGGCGGATGTCAGAAAAAACAATTTTTGTGTTAATTGTGCGTGAGGTGCGTGATGCAAAGGAGTGATGGTGGAAATAGGCAACGGCTACAAAAGGATATGGGTAGTGATTGAGACTTGTACTAGTTACACTCTGGAAACACCTCATCCCACCAGTTGTCTAGTTTCCGATTGAATTGCAGAACACTAGATACTGCTACTACTGTAGGTGGAAGTTTGTTCCATGCGTTTACCACGCGGTGGAAGAAAAACTGTGCCCTGGCACTTCCGTTGGCCTGCGGTTTCATCAGCTTCAGGTCATGCCCTCCGAGGGTTGGATTGAGGTTTCGCATAAACAAGGATCTATCTGTTACTGACAGTCCTTTGAGCTGTTTGAACGTCTGAATTAAGTCCCCCCTCACGCGACGGCGATGAAAAGGGAATAATTTAAGGGCCGCCAGTCTTTCTTTGTAGGACTTTCCCTGCAGTCCACTGATCATCCGGGTGAACCTTCTTTGTACTGCCTCAAGCAGTTGTTTATCGCTTACTAGGGGAGGGGCCCACGCCTCGACACAGTACTCCTGATGTGGCCGCACAAACGCCATATACAATGGCAAGATTACAGAAGCCTCCCTAGATATTACCTTTCTGCAGAGTTGAAGTAGTGCTCTATTGGCCTTCGCTGCGGCTGCCGAGCATTGCATTGAGGGCTTAAAGGAGGAGTGTTTCTGAACCCCTAGATCCTTGACTACATCCGCTGGTTCTATGGGGTTCATCGACCCAACGCCTAGTTGTCGCACCTCAGGGGTCCCTCTGTTCAGCTGCAGATGCTTGCATTTGCTGGCGCTGAGAGGTAGTTCCCATGAGGCCGACCAGTTATTAATTGAGTTGAGTGCATCCTGTAAATCCCCCGACGGGATCCTCTACTACTTTTAGGTCATCTGCGAATAGTAACCCAGGACACCGGAAGACCTCGGTGACGTCATTTACGTACAGCACAAATAGTATAGAACCAAGAAATGAGCCTTGAGGTACCCCAATACAGACTGCTACCGTTCCCGAGGTTTCCTGTTTGACCCTTACACGGAACGTCCTTCCGTGCAGGTACGCTTTGATCCACTTCACTAACCGCTGGTCTACGCGTAGGGCTTCCAGTTTGC